TTTTCATTAGGTGCAGTTTTGTACTCTGTTGAAATTGCTGAATTTTTTTTGATACAGAGAGACCTATTTTTGTTGCATATGTGGGTCTTTTTTTATTTCTCTTTGGTGCCGTTCCCCAAACGTCTTTTATATGAGCCTTATTCTATCCTACACAAACAAAAACTTAGAATATGTTAAGTCAACAATTTGGCAGTAATTAGAAAAGAAGAGGTTAAAAAACATTTATGGGACCTGTAAGCGGTATAAATCTAGTTTAGTTCGGTTGGTTTATTATACTTTACGGAGTTTGGTGCTACTAATTGTATCACTTTGTCACCGTATAACATAGCCTGGTTCATAAGTTGTTCTTGTAACAGATGTTTTCAAAACTATTTACTCTAATTATCTATGGAGCGCATCTCTACCTTCTCAAGGTAGGGGAAAGGTCTACGTACACACTACCCTCCCCAGACATCACCTGTGGGATTACACTGGGTTTTTTGTTATTGTTGTTGTTGTTGTTGTATCTATGGAGCATCCATGTAGTTGCAGTATATGACTAATGTATTTTTCTCTGCAGCACGAGACCAATTTGAACAAGGCGGATAGTGAGAAAGACAATAAGTATGAATCTCCATCGTCGGAAAATAAACATCCACAGAGTAAGCAAGCAGATTCATCACAAAGTACCAACTCTTCTGTGGAAGCGGGGATGAGCAGGGCCCCTTCAGCCAGTGGTAGAAAATCTAGTTCTAGGAATGAGGTAAGTTATATATGATTTACCCGGAAGTTTGAACTTCTATTTTCTCTTTTTCCTGTGGGCATAAGCAACAAAAGCTGAGTTTCTGCTTGAGGCAATTTATTGAAATTTTCGTACTTTGAGATGACTTCGGCGAGAAATATGAACTAAGGCCTGCCTTTTCTTTAATACTCTCTTCTCCATATCAACTGGTTCATGCATTCTACTGTTTATACTGCCTTACTCAGACGTTTTAAGATCATTGAACATAAAAAGGATTGTGTTGAAACGGATTCAATACCTGTTGATTATGCATTTGATAGAAGATTTTTAGCACATCTCATCAGTATTTGGCATAAAATCTTGTGTATAAATCATACAAAGGCTGTTTATCTTATATATATCTTTAGGGTCTACATAATTTATTCAACATCTATGATTGACAGGGAGCTAATGCTACAACATCAGCATTATCAAAGCTGACAAACAGGCTAAACTTCTTGAAAGAACGTCGGACTCAATTAACTGCAAATGAACTCCAATACCTAGACAAAAGCCAGTCTGGCGAGCCTGTCAAAAACAATGAAAGAGGTAAAGGGTCCGAAACTCACCACCCTGAGAAGTTTCAAGCATCTCAAAGCCAAACATCAGAAAAGAGTATATCAGACAGCCACCAACCTCTTCATCACCCCGATGGTCAGCATCCAGATCGAGGAACAAAACACGAAATCCATCCAAATTTGGACAAAGGAAAATCAGAGAGCTTCCCAAATATGGAAAAAGGTCGAGCTATATTCCCTCCAAGGACAAACTCGAGATGATGCATAGTCATTTTTCGGACTTCCCTAGTTTGCAATATGTCAAACAGCTTCTCAGATATCACGTTAGGCTGAGAGTAGAAGATGATGAGCGCGCTTGTTGCATGACCTTGATTGGTGCCTCGATAATTGATTGTGATGCCAACCTTGCCTAGCCGAGGTTCCATGATGCCTGATTCGTACAGGCCATCGATCCTATGAGGAGAAGTTGAGTGGCATGAAATGCTGCTGAGTTGAAGTTCTGCATTGTGCTTATTTGGAAATGAAATCAATGCTTTTGTATAGGTATGTCATAAGTAGAAATCTAATTATTTGATATAGCGGATTAAAAGGTATCAGATAGTTTTTAGAACTATTGCAACTCCTTTTCTTGTTTGTCAATTATAGAACCCTTCTAAAACCAAGATAAGAAAATTTTGTTGCCATTCAATTGTATAAAGTGTTGGTTGCTTCCCACTGGAATAAGTTTTTTTAGGACATATTTAATTAAGTTTTCCCCTACATTACTTCATTTTCTGTTGCAATCAATTTAATAGCAGCGTGCTAATGGCAAAACTGATCAAACAGAGACAATCTTTGGTATGGGAGAAAAATTTCTCATAATTCAAAAAAAAAAAAAACTCTTCGTAGTAGAGCTGTGCATAATATGGTAAATACCGAATTACCGTACCGAAACTGAAAATTTTGATATTCGGTATTTGATGATTGGTACGATATTTGGTATAAGTTTTTAAAAATTTTGGTATTAGGTATGATATGTGGTATTTAAAAAAATAATACTGAAATACTGATAACGTACCGGAATATATACTAAGTTACATATTATATATATTACTATTGATTATAACATGCTATAAGTTACCCAATACTTTTCTTTGGCATTCATGTTGAGGTTGGCAATACATAATGTTTTTATGGTTTTAGAGTGTTTCTTACTTTGTTGCTCGTGTATTGTTGTTGCATCTATTGGATTAATCCTTATTGTATTCTTTAAGTTCAACAATTAATTAACTCTAAGCAAGTAATAAGATAATTCCAAGGATCAAATTTATTCTTTTATGCACCTTTTTTCTCTCAATGATACTTGCTGGTTTTGAATAAAGATTTTGTTAACAGTCAGATGAGCTAGAACGTTTTCATATTTATATTTGTAAGTACTTTAATTAAGAATATTACAGTTAATATTCAAGCTGAAAAAAATCGAAATTACCGAACCGAATAAATTGAAACCGAAAGGAGAAAAGTAGAACCATATCGAATTTAATTAGGTATGATATTGGTATAACATTTAAAGAAACCGAATACCGAAAATATCAAACCGAAATGTCTGAATATCACACCGTACCAACAGACGAACACAGTTCGTAGTCTTTTAACAACTACATAAGTCTTCAACCGATCAATCTAACCATTTGGAGAAATTTTTGACATGTATGCCCCTACTACATTCTATTGTAATATTACTAGGTAGAAAAGTTTAATGTTTCCAAATACTATTTGCATGAAATTCATGCTCTATTTACTACTTGTCTCTCAAGATGTAACACTGACTTTAAAAGACATAGGAAATAGAAACAAAGGCAGAATAGAGGGTGCAAGTAAAAGGTTATAACTAAGACGATTACATATAAAATGAGATGAACGACTGCATTAAGAATTAACAGTAATGAATTCCTTTCTGATGAACAATAAGCAAATCTAGCTGTAGGAGAAGAGAGTGATCAACTCAAAAGGATCTAAGAAATTTATATAAGAAAAATAAGTTGACCCAATGAAAGTAACATTTGCAAGGAACTTGAATGACGAGAATCCTATCTATAATATAACTTTTGTATTTATGATAATTCTATGTATAACAACAACATACTAAGTATTATCCCACATCGTGAGGTCTGAGGAGGACAGTGTGTACGCAGACCTTAGCCCTACCTTGTGAAGGTAGAGAGGCTATTTCCAATGGACCCTCGGCTCAGAAAAATATAAGCACCACATTAATTAAAAAGATAGACAATGAGGGACAACACCAAAAAGCCATGTAAAAGTAGCATAAACAACATGATAATAAGATGATCAAAATGAAAGAAAATGATGGGTATTCGTAGAAACCTACTACCAACAGAATGCGAGAGTGCGTACTAATCCTATTGGTATGAATAATCTACCACCTATCCTACTACCCTAATCCTCGACCTCCACACCTTCCTATCAAGGGTCGTGTCCACAGTCAACTGAAGTTGCGTCATATCTTGCCTAATGATCACCTTTCCCCACTTCTTCTTCGGCCTACCTCTACCTCTCCGTAAGCCCTCCAATGTCAACCTCTCACACCTCCTCACTGAGGCATCTGTGCTCCTCCTTTTCATATGTCCAAACCATCTAAGCCTCGCTTCCCGCATCTTATCCTCAATGGGGGCCACACCCACCTTGTCGCGAATAACCTCATTCATGATCCTATCTAACCTGGTGTGCCCGCACATCTATCTCAACATCCTCATCGCTGTTACCTTCATCTTCTAGATATTGGGCAATCTTGACATTACAACACTCAGCCTCATATAACATAGTCGGTCTGGCCACCACTCTGTAGAACTTACCTTTAAGTTTTGGTGGTACCTTCTTGTCACACAAAATAGCAGAAGCGAGTCTCCATTTCATCTATCCTGCCCCAATACGATGTGTGACATCTTCATCAATCTCCCCACCCCCCTGAATAATAGACCCAAGGTACTTAAAACTAGCTCTCCTAGGGATGACTTACAAGTCCAACCTCACCTCCCCTTCCCCTCCTTAAGTCTCACCACTGAACTTACACTGCAAGTATTCTGTTTTGGTTCTACTCAACTTGAAATCTTTAGACTCCAGGGTCTGCCTCCATACCTCTAACCTCGCGTTCACACCACATCGTATGTTATCAATCAATACAATATCATCTGCAAATAACATGCACCACGATGCCTCTCCTTAGATGTGGCGCGTCAGAACGTCTATCGTCAGGGCAAACAAAAAAGGGCCAAGTGCCGACCCCTGGTGCAAACCCATCATGACCGAAAAATGGTCTGAGTTCCCTCTCACCGTCCTCACTCGGGTCTTTGCTCTATCACACATGTCTTTAATCATCTTAATGTAGCCAACAGGTACACCTCTAGCCTCTAAACACCTCTATTAAACCTCCCCCGGGACTTTTTCGTACCTTTTTTCTAAGTCAATGAACACCATATGCAAGTCTTTCTTCCTCTCTCTATACTGCTCCATCAAACCTCTAATAAGGTGAATGCCTATGTATTCGAGCACTCCGGTATAAACCCGAATTGATTCTCAGAAATAGACACACTCCTCCTCACCCTTAGCTCCACCACCTTCTCCCAGACTTTCATAGTATGGCTAAGCAGCTTGATACCCTGATAATTATTGCAATTTTGGATATCACCCTTGTTCTTATATAAAGGAACCATTGTGTTCCACCTTCACTCCTCGGGCATCTTCTTTGTTCTAAAATTGACATTAAATAACCTAGTGAGCCACTCTAAGCCCGTATTGCCCGCACTCTTCCAAAACTCTACCGGGATTTCATCTGGCCCGGTCGCTCTGTCCCTGCTCATCTTACGCATAACCCCCTCAACCTCCTCAACTCTAATCCGCCTACAATACCCAAAGTCGCAACGGATCCCGGAGAATTTCAAATCACCCAGTACAATATTCTTGTCCCCCTCCTCGTTCAAGAGATTATGGAAGTAGGTCTGCCATCTCCGATAACTCTACCTTATTCGTCCTTGATGCATTTCACTTGGTCCAAGTTACGGGCCTTCCTTTCTATTACCTTGGCTAACCTGAACAACCTTTTATCCCCACCTCTGCGCTCGGGTTCTTCATACAAACGACCAAAAGTTGCAGTCTTAGCTGCCGTAACTGCTGATTTCGTCTCCTTCTTAGCTAACTTATATTGCTCCTTATTCACCCTTCTTTCCTCCTCGTCTACACTTTTCACTAGCTTCAGATATGTCGCTTTCTTGGTCTTCACTTTTTCTTGCATCTCTTCATTCCACCACCAATCTCCTCTGTGTCCACCAAAGTAATCTTTCGAGATCCCTAATACCTCTTTAGTGGCTTCCCTAATACACTGCGCAGTCTCTGTATGTGTAGGTAAAATAGAAATCTTGATATATCATTATTATTTTATTCCAGCTTTGAAATTTGACTAATTGCATTTTACCTTTAATAAAATTAAACAGAAAGTGTGATTTTACTCCAATTATTAGCAGAAGTAAAAGAGAAATCGGATTGTTTACCTCTACAAAGGGTCATTCAGGTCACCTAAGTTAAAAAAAGATACTTCAATTTCAAAAAAAGATCTAAAAGAAAAAAGCAAAATGAATATTTTTTGGTTGGCAGGTATAAGTTGATAATAAGTTCAGAAACAAGTTTCAGACGAAAGTGTTCGAAAAATATGAACGAACTCTTGAGATTTGAAACACATGTGAAACGTTTTCCTCAAAACGATATTTGCTCTCCTTCCTTTCCGAGACTGGCATGGGATTAATCATTAATGGGAATAACTTTAATGGATATGATAAATCTTTGTATTTCTACACTAAGCAAATAGTGGAGAAATTCACTAGAAAATTAAGAAGTCGAACTTGATCTTTTGAATGTGGAAGAAAGAGAGTTGAAGTGGTAAAGAAGAAACTTTCTCCGGAAAAGGTAACGTTGAATTTGGTTTTACAGAACATGATCAATTAATTTTGTTTATATAGACAAAGTAGTGACTACAACAATAGTCAAAGGATACAACCTTTAAAGAAAAAAAGGTATCTTGTCCTTTAAAATTTAATTATTAATTATATTTAAACTTCAATTTCCTAATAATCCACACTTGTTTAAAATGACTAAAGACACAAAACCAAGTTATTGTTTACCCGAAAAATGGATAGAGTTGAATTTGTACGTAGTTCTAAGGATATGTGGTATAACTCAACACAAATCGTATGGATAAATAGAAATATGAAATCTTTGACTGTGAGGATAAAAGATATGAAGCTAGAAAGGATAGTTCTTCAATATGAAATGTGCGATATCTCAGATACCAAGTATGCAAAAACTTGTCCTTTACATAAATAATAACCATACCCGTTATAGTGGAGGGATTCTACTTTAGATATAATTAAATATACATAGTGGGAGACCCATGATAAATCAATTTTTCTATAATTCCTGCTAGGATTCTCTCCTCTAGTGAAATTGCAACGGCTCTTGTTTATAAGCTCGATCTTGACTCGAGCTCTCGATCTTGACCCGAGCTCTAGATCTTGACTCGAGCTCTCGATCTTGACTCGATCTCGATTCTGGCCCGGATCTTTGTACTGATTCGGGGTCAATGTTGGTCGGTCTCTGCCTCGTAAGCTCGATAACTTCACTTTGCATCATAGTTCGATTTGGACTCGAGCTCGATAATGATATCGAGCTCGACATTGATTGGTCCTTAGGGCTCGAATCTTAGTGACCTGACTCCGGATCTCAACCTGATTATGAAGATGCTTCTCCGATCCAATGCATTACTATCTCTACCAGTTCGTACGAAATACTAACCAATTTTTACCGTATACAGATAGTCCCCTCGTTTCTCGGGAACGATGTAGCGAGAAACGACATGATTTATCGATGGCTCGATCAAATATATACTGACGTGTGCATCGAATCCGATCGTGACGTACACGATAGTTGTCCCATCGGTTCAATTTTTCGAGGTATTTAATGCGTGTCAGACGGTGGTCGGCCATTACCGATATTGGACCGCCACTTCCCAACTTATAAATATCCCCTTCTTTCACCATTAATCACTTTTACATCTTCTAATCTCAAAATTTCCTAAGCATTTCTCATATCTTCTGAATTAAGTGCAAATTTTACCTTATGTGATTTTTACTGCAAAATCTTTCTCTGAAACACCACATCTTCTTTATTTCTTTCTTCTAAATTCAAAATATGGTGAAAACATCAAAAGTCGTCCTTCAAAAAGAAGAGGCTTCTTCTTCACATCCTGCCGCCGATAAAACACCGGTGGAGCCACGGCCTGAGGAGTTTGTTCCCGGAGCATGCCTTCTCACCTTCGATTTTAAGGCCGATAAGGGCTCATTGGTTCTCGGTCGTTGATAGCCGGTATCGAGGTATTTATGTTCGATAACAAAAAGCAACCTGCTCAGTTAAAGACATATTGCAACTGGGATAGCAAAGAAGTGGTAATTCCGGCTTCTGATGAAGATATTACCACCCACGTGGAAGGGTTCCTTAGTGTGTATACTTACCCTTTTACGTTAGGACCTCTCGACCCTGTTATCGTCGATTTTTGTCGTCAATACCGAATAACTCTAGGTCAGATTCATCTTTCCTTTTGGCAGATCATTATCCTCATCCGTTTCTTTGAAAACAAGATCGAGGGGATGTCTTTCACCCTCGATCATCTTATTAAATTGTATAGTCCCCGCCTCTTTCGGGGTGGATTAATAAAACTTCAACGTCGGGCTACCAAGGTACTATTCTCGAGCATAGACGAGGACAAGGATCGAGGTTGGATGGGCAGGTTCGTTCGAGTGAGTACTTCGGACCTGATCCCAGCCGAAAAGATGCTATTCCCCGAAGAATGGAATATGAAGCGTAAGTGTGATTCTGCTGCTTATTCCTTATCGTATTGTCTCTTTGTTTCTTTCTTGCTGATATCTCTTTTGTGATGCAGCAGTTCCTTGGATGCCCGGCGCCGTTCCCGATCTTAAGAGCTGGGTATGGGCCCTGGCTTCGACCTCTACATACGCCGAACGTTTGTGGCGTGATTTGGCAAAGGGCCGATGGGAGGCCAAAAATCATGATAAGCGTATTTCTCATGTTTTGAGAGTTCAAACGAAATATTTTCCACATATTCAACCGATCTTCTTATGTGTAGGCCTGGGCAGAGAGGCCAAAAATCATGGTAAGCCTATTTCTCATTTTTTGAGAGTTCGAACGAAATGTTTTCCACATATTCAACCGATCTTCTTGTGTGTAGGCCTACCTGGCGAAGAAGAAGCCTCGGACCGGGTTTCTAAACCGACGGAGGGAAATAAGAGAAAAAGGGCCTCTACTTTCGAAAACCCAAAACTGAAGGCAATGTAAACTCGTAAGTTGAGGAAGAATACCATCCCTTTAACCTTAGAATCAGTTCAGCATCTAAGGGATGAAGATGAGGAAGAGGAAGACAACGGGTTCGTACTGGTGGCCCGATCGAAGAATACCACCGACGCTCCATAGGCAGCTGGATCGATGGTGGTTTATAAGGCTCCGCCTCAAACTGAGGATATATCGAAGAAAAATTCGGGCAGAGTCCCTGAGTTGTCAGAGATCGAGGATGCTTCCCATCGAAGTCAACGGATGAGGGATATATCTGAAGGGGCTCTCCCCGAATCTCTTCGAACCGAAGAGAATGCCCCAAGTGACTCACTTGGGGAAGTAGCAATCAAAGACTCGCCCACCTTCCCTGTTTTTTTCCGAAGGGACGATTCGGGAAGCCCAAGCTTTGGGGGCCCTCGAACTAGACGGGCCTCATGATGGAGAGGATCCTTTTTGTGATCTGTTTATCGATGTTGAGGACGCTGCCGGTACTAGTGTTGCATTGGATCTTTTTCACGGAGTGCAGCAGGCTTTGAATCAGGTAAGCCTTAATTATTTTATTGGTATTATCTCTCTTGTCTATTTTTCGTTTCTTACTTTGTTTCCTCTTTCTTCGTAGGTCGTGGTAGCTCATCGAGAAGTATGTTCTTGATCCCGAGCTGAGCAGCATCGATACGAGGCCGATCTCCAATGGGCCACGGAGGAGAGGAAAGCCCTTAAACTCCTTTTTGGGCAAAAGGTAAAAGAAATCAAGGACTTCCTAGCTGAGTTGGCCAAAGTTCACCAAGATCAAACTGATCTGTCCGAGCAGGTAATGACACTATTAAAAGCCTATGTATTCGATACTGGAACGATGACTAATCTTTCGATCTCACAGCTGCAGCAAAAAATTGAGATGATCGGGAAACTCCGTGAGGAGGTTATGTGATAAAAGCGGAGTCCTTGATGTGGAAAGAAGAATGGACTGCTTTGCTACAGAGAAAGAGGCTGCTCGAGCCCAATTGTCATTGGCCGAAAACCAGCTTCAAAGTATAAAGGAGAAAAGCTCAGTTCAAGCAAGGAAAACAGAGGAGCTCGAGGCTCGGTTGGCTTCTAAACTTGCCAATGCTGAAAAGACAAAGGCCGATGCAGATGCATTTATGGCTGTTTATCGGGCCGTTGATGAGGTCGCTCAGTCGCATGCAAGGGAAGTAGCTGAGACCGCTCGAACTCGAGCGCATTGGATAGCTGAATTTGCCAAATGCCAATCTCGGAGGGAAACCCTCGAGGAGATCCATGCTCGAGGCTTCGATCTTACTGAAGAGAGCTTGAAGCCGATGCTGGGGCCTTGGCCTCCAATGATGACGATGATGATGATGATGACGGTGATGGGAACAAGAGAGGGTCTCAGAGTGGGGAGGAGCCCGATGGAGAAGAGACCTCCCCCGGAGATAACCAAGAAACTTAGCCCTTAGTTTCCATTTTGGATGTTGTAAACAATCTTGTATGTATATATAAATATCTTTTCTTTTCCCGACTTGCCTTTATTTTCTGCCTTATGAAGATTTTATTTCATTTATGTCGATTTTCGTAAGGCTTTAGGCAATTTAGTTAAGTGAGTGATTCGAACTCGAAGTAACGTAGCCCGTAGGCTTAATGGTCAAGTGAGCGCTTTGCTTCGAACTTGAAATAAGAGTAGCCCGTAGGCTCAATAGTCGAGTGAGTGATTCGAACTCGAGGTAATATAGTCTGTAGGCTTAATAGTCAAGTGAGTGATTCGAACTCGAAGTAATGCAGCCCGTAGGCTTAATAGTCGAGTGAGTGATTCCAACTCGAAGTAATGTATCCCGTAAGCTTAATAGTCAAGTGAGTGATTCGAACTCGAAGTAATGCAGCCCGTAGGCTTAATAGTCGAGTGAGTGATTCCAACTCGAAGTAATGTATCCCGTAAGCTTAATAGTCAAGTGAGTGATTCGAACTCGAAGTAATGTAGCCTGTAGGCTTAGTAGTCGAGTGAGTGATTTCGAACTCAAAGTAATATATCCCGTAGGCTTAGTAGTCGAGTGAGTGATTTCGAACTCGAAGTAATATAGCATGTAGGCTTAGTAGTCGAGTGAGTGCTTGCTTTAACTCAAAGTAATGTAGCCCGTAGGCTTAACAGTCGAGTGAGTGATTTCAAACTCGAAGTAATGTAGCACGTAGGCTTAATGATTGAGCGAGTGATTTCTCGAACCCAAGATAAGAGTAGCATGTAGGCTTAGTAGTCGAGTGAGTGTTTGCTCGAACTCGAAGTAATATAGACCGTAGGCTTAACAGTCGAGTGAGTGATTTCGAACTCGAAGTAATGTAGCCCGCAGGCTTAACAATCGAGTGAGTGATTTCGAATTCGAAGTAATGTAGCCCGTAGGCTTAATGATTGAGCGAGCGATTTCTCGAACTCAAGATAAGAGTAGCTCGTAGGCTTAGTAGTCGAGTGAGTGCTTGCTCGAACTCGAAGTAATGTAGCCCGTAGGCTTAATGATTGAGCGAGCAATTTCTCGAACTCAAGATAAAAGTAGCCCGTAGGCTTAGTAGTCAAGTGAGTTCTTGCTCGAACTCGAAGTAATGTAGCCCGTAGGCTTAATAGTTGAGTGAGTGATTTCAAACTCGAAGTAATGTAGCCCGTAGGCTTAATAGTTGAGTGAGTGATTTCAAACTCGAAGTAATGTAGCCTGTAGGCTTAATGATTGAGCGAACGATTTTTTGAGCTCAAGATAAGAGTAGCCCGTAGGCTTAGTAGTCGAGTGAGTGCTTGCTCGAACTCAAAGTAATGTAGCCCGTAGGCTTAATAGTCGAGTGAGTGATTTCGAACTCGAAGTAATGTAGCCCGTAGGCTTAATGATTTAGCAAGCAATTTCTCGAACTCAAGATAAGAGTAGCTCATAGTCTTAGTGGTCGAGTGAGTGCTTGCTCGAACTCGAAGTAATGTAGCCCGTAGGCTTAATAGTCGAGTGAATGATTTCAAACTTGAAGTAATGTAGCCCGTAGGCTTAATGATTGAGCGAGCGATTTCTCGAACTCAAGATAAGAGTAGCCCGTAGGCTTCGTTGATTTTCGGTTGGCAATCCCCGATTTAAGGGGTTGTGGTTGGCCCTTAAGCCTTTTTGCATAATAAATCCCGAAATAGAGGAAATTTTTCTTGGATATAAGATGTGGGTAAAGAAGAAAGTTTTCTTTGTAAGTCATTCTACATGTGTTCATGTTTTGTGTCAGGGCTCGGACCAACTACATGAGCATGGTTCGTTTTGACCATTTGGCTCTTACAATTTTTCCTATCGGAACCCTGTTGTTATGAAGTAACTTTCTTGCATCTAACTTGATATGTTTGAGGGGTAATGCTCCCCCAGTATTCGAGGTCGATTGTAAAGAGGCCTCGGATATTGTTGAATTATTCTAAGTTAGCACGATCAATGGTTGTCTCATTAAAAACCTTGCCGAAAAACCCATTTGGGATAAAACCGGTCTAAGGAAAAAAAAGTGCAATGCGTGCTTTCAGACCTAGGGCTTTGTGTTGAATGATCCATCCTTGTTCCTGATCGAACTCCTACAGGGGTTAGTTTTGAAATATAAACGAACGTGGGAGGGTCGTACCTTAGCAGTAGTATCGTTTTAGGTGCGACACATTCCAATTACTTGATAGTTGTTTGCCGTTTATAATGCCGAGCTTGTACGATCC